AATCGAAAAGGTGGGGACCTGTGGTGTGCATCAGGATCTTCTCTAGTTTTCTTACGCAATGTATTAATCCAACTATGAGTAAATTTTGTGTAAATATTCTTAGAGTAATAAGCATATATATTTCCCACACACAAAAATAAGCATATATATTATGGTATATGTTTTTTTTTCTGAAATCATGTTTTTTCTGTTGGTAGTACGAGGGAGCCGTCAATGTGGATGGAAGAGGACCTACAATTTGGGACAAATTCGCACACACGTTTGGTAACATAAACAATTGTTTTGTTTTGTGATAGAACATTTGTTTTTTCAGTGGAAGAGAAACTGACTGTTAACTAGGGAGTGGTCACTCATGAGGTCTGATATGACTGAATATGTATTTACTCACCAATGGAACTAACCTTGGCCACTAAAATTAGTAGTCGTATTATGATTCAAGATAATGATACAATCTTCTTACAAATACCTTTTTCTCCTATGTAGGGAAGATCCTTGACTTCAGCAATGCCGATGTTGCTGTTGACCACTACCACCGTTTTGAGGTTCCTCCTTTTTGGAAATATAGGCACTAGATTAATGCATCAAGATGATACATAATATTCCGTAGAACGTGTCGTCGAATATGAACATGAGCGTTTAATTATGCACACGTTGTACAATATACTCATGGCCCTTGAAACAACTTACTATTTCAGGAGGACATTCAGCTTATGGCAGATATGGGATTGGATGCCTACAGATTCTCAATTGCATGGTCTCGGATTCTCCCAAGTACGCATTATTAGTACAAATTTTGTGCGCCCCTTAATAATTTGACTGATAAACAGGGTTGTCAAATTGTGGAGAAATTAATTAACATACCAGCACACTAATAGTGATAGCCTTGTGTGTTTTGTTTGATGTCCAGATGGCACCGGTGAGGTCAACCAAGCAGGCATCGACCACTACAGCAAGGTCATTGATGCACTCCTAGCAAAAGGTGAACTTCTGTACACTCTGAAGATCAAAGCATTATTGACCAGTGTCGAATTTTTATCAAAACATTATTGACCACCACCTTCAATGCACCCACGGTGCACCCACGCAAGAAAACATAGCAAAAAAATTCAAAAAATTCTGTAACTTTATGAGAATGATCATCAACAAATGTTAGAAAGGCTTGCAAAATGTGATGGGCAAATAACATTCGAGAAGCTCTCTACAAAAAAGACAAGATTACAAAATCTGCTCAAACAGTGCACTTACATTTTGACTAATTTTCAGTGGATTTGTCTTTTTTGTAGAGAGCTCCTCGAATGTTATTTGACCACCAAATTTTGCAAGCCTTTCTAACATTTCTTGATGATCATTTTCACAAAGTTTCAGATTTTTTTTTTTGAAATGTTTTGATATGTTTTCTTGCGTGGATGCATCGAGAGTGGGTGTAGAAGAACCACTCTCTCCAAATTACTCCCTCCGTTTCTAAATATTTGTCTTTTTAGAGATTCAAATGGACTACCACATACGGATGTATATATACATATTTTAGAGTGTAGATTCACTCATTTTGCACCGTATGTAGTCATTTGTTGAAATCTCTAGAAAGACAAATATTTAGGAATGGAGGGAGTAGTTATGAGCTCACTAACAAGGTGAAGTAGAATTATTGTTCCAGGGATTGAGCCGTATGTTACCCTCTACCACTGGGACCTTCCCCTGGCCCTGGAAGACAAGTACAATGGGTTGCTTGACAGGCAGATAATGTGTGTACCGTAGGCACCTTTATTTGCAGCAACTCCCCTTGGGTCTAACTGCAATGGTGGTCTAACAACCCAAACATGCAAACTGCCAATGCAGCAACGACTACGCGGCGTACGCGGAGACGTGTTTCAAGGCGTTTGGGGACAGGGTGAAGCGTTGGATCACCTTCAACGAGCCACACACGGTGGCGGTGCAGGGTTACGACAGCGGGGTCCACGCGCCGGGCCGCTGCTCCGTGCTCCGCCACCTCTGCTGCAAACAAGGGAGCTCCGGCACCGAGCCCTACATTGTCGCTCACAACATCATCCTCGCTCACGCCACGGTTTCGGACATCTACAGGAAGAAGTACAAGGTCAGTCGGAAGTCGGAAGTCGGAAGAACATCCTATATATTGGTTTAGTTCAGGTTTTGCTCTTTGAAAATTGATGTGATTTCCCCTTGGGCCTGAAGTTGCAACATAGCTTGAACTGAACAATAAAAGATTGATTTTTTGTGTATTAATATTATGCAGGCAGAGCAGAATGGAGAGGTGGGGATGTCTTTGGATGTGATATGGTACGAGCCTGTCTCAAACTCCACAGCTGATGTTGAGGCCGCCAAGAGAGCACAGGAGTTCCAGCTAGGATGGTCAGTGAGCCTCACTCACTAAATCCATTAACTATTTCCTACTCCCTCCGTCCCATAATGTAAGACGTTTTTTTACACTACACTAGTGTCAAAACACGTCTTACATTATGGGACGGAGGGAGTACTAATTAATCTAATCACGGATGGATATGCCAGTAACAGAGCTAGCCTAGCAGTTTCATAGAATTGATTGCAGTGAAAATGAACAAAGCTAGCATAGTAGTTCCAAATTTAAGTCTCTAGGAGTTGCTGAGATAAAATGAGGTAATGTCAAAAGGTTTGCCGATCCCTTCTTCTTCGGTGATTACCCGGCGACGATGAGATCAAGGGTCGGACAAAGGCTGCCGAGGTTCATGACGAAGGAGGCCGATCTGGTGAAGGGGTCGCTGGACTTCGTGGGGATCAATCACTACACCACATTCTACACAAAAGAAGACCATTCCGCTGTCATCAAATACTTGCTGAATGATACCTTGGCAGACAGTGGATCCGTCAGCCTCCGTAAGTTGAATTCCTGCCCCTCGTGTATCTTTGAACTATTTTTAGTCTAACTTCATACTCATGTCTGCATCTTGTGTTCATTGTCAGCCTTCAGAAATGGGAAGCCAATTGGAGATAAGGTAACCATCACGTCAGCAGCATGCGGACTGACAATTTTGTGTTGCAATGCTGCATTTGGATTTCTGAAAATTAACTGCAGGCATCATGACTGAATGAATATTGCTCTTGCTCGCCTCCTTACCTGCAGGCCAATTCGATATGGTTGTACATTGTGCCTGGCAGCATGAGGAGACTCATGAACTATGTCAAAGATAGATACGACACCCCAACTGTCTACATCACTGAAAATGGCAAGTACACGCACAATATGATTTTCTCCATTTGATTAGCACGCAACTACAAAGAGATGGAACAAAACTCGCTTCGGAGTTCATGAACATAACAAGGATGTGCATGTTGTCAATTAAGTGTAATTAAATTCGCCTTCAGACATGACATTAAAGTAACTCTCTTTTTCAGGAATGGATGACAGCAACAGCCCCTTCATCTCCCTCAAGAAGGCCCTCAAAGACACAAAAAGAATCAACTACCACAATGACTACCTCACAAATCTAGCTGATTCCATAAGGTGCTCACATGATTTTACCTTCCCTTGATCAGTAAAATCTTATTTTGCCATGTGTAGACCAGTTAATCTTTGATATTGTAATTTCTACAGGGAGGATGGCTGCGATGTTCGCGGGTATTTTGTGTGGTCTCTTCTCGACAACTGGGAGTGGACCGCTGGATACACCTCAAGATTCGGTTTGTTCTTCGTAGACTACAAGGATAACCTCAAGAGATACCCCAAGAACTCAGTCCAGTGGTTCAAGAATTTCTTGGCATCTTCCTGATCAAAATTTGATAGCTAATGTAGAGGTCATGATCACATATACACTTCAATATTTTTCTATGACTTGTAGACAGGGTACTATAGCAATTTGTGACTTCTCATGTATACATCGATTGTATATAGCGGAAATCGACCTTTTAGACGTACCATATTCCCTAGATTAAATGGACCTCTCTCAATCGCTCGTACATAATTATTGAGCCGGACAAGAAAAGATAGGAGTGCCCTTATGAAGGTCGCATATAATTTCTCCCAGTCAATTAGCCTGTATCCGACCACATGTATTCAAACAAGCAAAGCAGGCTCTGTATTGCGAAAAACAAGAACAGAGGATCCACTGTACCTTGTGCTGACACTTACGAACACATGAAAAATAGCACCCATTGTACTTAAGGAGAGCTGCCCATGACATCAAAAGGTCATATTTTCGCATTCCTCCCTAACAACTGCGAACAGATCAGAGTTCATGTATCTCTCGCCGGCGCTGGGGAACATGGTAACGATCATCTTGCCCTGGTTCCCTTCTCGCGTCGCAATCTGCCAGAGACCCACGAAATCAGAGCTCACATACCCAGCAAATATGCTAATTCATGTAACCTTCTAACATCAGCAGTGAAGTTACCTTGATGCAAGCAGCTACATTTGCACCGGAGGATATGCCGACCAGCAGGCCCTCCTCCCTTGCCAGCCTCCTCGCCATCGCCATGGCATCCTCGGTGCTCACCGTAACAACCTCGTCGATGACCGACGTGTCGAGAACCTCGGGTATGAAGCCTGGCCCGGTGCCCTGAATCTTGTGTGACCCTGGTGAGCCTCCTGAACACAGGATCAAACAACAATGTATCTGGTTACTATTTGCACATCCTGAATGTGTTTGTTCATATGCACTTATTCATTGATGGTTCTGATTGGTTGGAAGTCCATGACTTGAAAGTAGCACCACATGGTATGGTTACGGGATTACCTGAAATTACAGCGCTTTCTGAAGGTTCCACGCACACTATCTTTATGGATGGATTTTTCATCTTCAGGTACTTCCCTACGCCTGTCAGTGTGCCTCCTGAACCAACAGCGGCCACAAACATATCCACTTTGCCTGCTGTGTCCTTCCATATCTCGGGTCCTGAAGTTTGTTCCAGAAAATGACAATCGAGTAAATTGTTGCGCAAGAGCATATTGACAAAATAAAAGATACATAATTGGTGATAAAGATGACATTTCTTCAGATATAAGTACCAGTTCATTTGAAGTGTGCATCTGGGTTTGCTGGATTGGTGACTTGATTAAGACAGTGAGAATTTGGTATAGTCTTCATCAGCTTCTCCACCTTGCCAATCATTCCTTTAAACCCATTTGCAGGATCTGCAGTAAATATTCATCAAAAAATATTTAGACACTTTAAGTACTACTTCCTCCATTCCCAAATATAAGATGTTTTGGATATTTCAATATGGACTACATACGGACTGAAATGAGTAAACATCCAATTCAAAAATAGAGGTTGGAACATCTTATATTTGTGAACGGAGGGATTATTTGGTTAGATACTGGAAGAGCAATTTCCCCGCTGGCATACAAGTGGGACACTTAAAGTACTTGTTGAGTTCCTAACCATTTCTAGGGGCAAAAAATCCCTTTTTCTCACCTGTTAATATCAGTTCAGCACCCAAAAATCTCAGTAGCATCTGTTTGTCAAGTGAATATTTTGCAGGCATAACAGCAATAAACCGGTAGCCTTTCTGAACAGCGATGAACACCATTCCAATTCCTTGATTGCCGCTTGTTGGCTCGATTAGTGTCATAACACCTGGTGAAATCAATCCCTTCTCCTCTGCGTCTTCAATCATCCTTCAGAGAAAAAATTGCACGCTCTCTGGTAAAGAAATAGTTTACAGTTCGTTACCTATTTCCTATTCACTTCAAAAATAGGAGCATCATCACAGTCATTTAGGTGGTTAAATTCCAGAGACACGGGTAGCCTGTAGCTATGCTTAGATGATATATGCATCTAGGAACTGCACACTTTTGACTTGTAAATTCAAGAAATGAACCAAGCGAGTCATAAAATCAATAGAGGATTGCATTCGCACGCACCGGAGAGCGCTCCTGTCCTTAACTGAGCAAAGGGGTTGGTACGCCTCCATCTTTCCAACCAACCGCGCTTCGAAGCCGTCTTTCTTAGCAATGTTCTTCATTTCTATTAGCGGAGTCCAACCTATGAGCTGAACAAAAACATGAAGTAGGCCACCATTAGTAAATGATTTAAATGCAGGCCTGCCGATCCGTACCAAGCAAGACCTGTGCTTAACTGGCTATTCCCTGTCAAGAACTCTCCCCAAAACCTCTACTTATCCAAAAAAATATAACCATCTTGTGCCCAAAAACAGTGGGACAGGCTAATCTTGACCGAAGCTGATAAATCATAAATGGAGTCCACGCACATCCACATCCAAGAAGCAGCCCAAAACTGAGACAAGCAAAAGATGGGTTGGAGGGGAGACAATCTGTCACCTGGGTGATGTTGGAGGCGATGTTCTCCTCCCCGGAGGAGAGGAGAGATGGGATTCTTTTCCTTCCCTCTTCCTCCACCGCCATAGCTCCCTCCCTCTTTCTCTGTGGCTGTGGGTGTTGCGTGCCAGATGGATGGATAGGGTGGCTCCCAAATCACCTTGCAGCGCCGTACAGGATGAACTGGCGAGTTAGGTTTAGCTCGGATCTTTAATTATTGTATACGGGCCTTCGCTGTCGCTCCATAGAAAAATCTGTATGATGTACCTTGTTCCAACAACCTCTAGCAAGAATGAAACTCACGTCTCTATGGACTACAGACAAACCCATCAAGGTTGAGATTCAGAATAATATTCCCAGCCCAATTCAAACCTTACATTTTTACAGAACTCAAAGGTTTTAACTCTTGATTTGGTTGGGGTGCGCCGGGCCAGGGCAGCAGTGCAACGCCCAGACGACGCATGTGGACCCCAGCAGCAAGCTACTGTGATGGGCCCACCCCCACGAAAAATAAATTTAATATCGTTGTGGACACATGGTCCACATATCAGATATTAAACTGATAAGAACAGATACTACACTTGATCTTAGCCAAAAGGCCGAGAAAGGTATGAGTTGCAATGCTGAGACGGGTCGCCTTTTATAGCCATCCGTCCTCTGCGCTCCTCCTCCGTGCGCGATGTGGTACTAAACTGAGAGCCTTTCCTCTTCTGCTGTCGCGCGATGCCACCAGCACGCACGCGCTGGCGCTGCTAGTTTGGGCCCAAACTGAGAGCCCATGCCAGGCCTTCTGGAGTTACAGCGCTCTGTTCTCCCGTTCCTTTTCCGTTTACCCCCTTGTGCCTTCCCTTCTCTTCTGTAGGCTGTAGCAGACTAACAGTTTGAAATGCATAAATCTCAAAACAAAAAAGGAAATGCATGGCTGAGAGAAATACGAGTATGTCGGCCAATTTCCTGCCCCTTCTTCTTTTGAGAAACAATTTCCTATCACTGCCTGAGGTTCCTATGTTTAAATGTTGTAAATTTCCAGCTTGCCTCTGCCATTATTTTTGTATAAACAGATGCTATGTCAAAAAGGTTTGTCGATCCCTTCTTCTTCGGCGATTACCCGGCGGCAATGAGATCGAGGGTCGGAGAAAGGCTGCTGAGGTTCATGACAAAAGAGGCCGATCTGGTGAACGGGTCGCTGGACTTCGTGGGGGTCAATCACTACATCACATTCTACACAAAGGAAGACCATTGCACTGTCATGAAATACTTGTTGAATGACACCTTGGCTGACAGCGGATCCATCAGCCTCCGTAATTCAGTCTACCCCTCTTGTATCTTTAATTTTTTAATCTTCATACTCATGTGTACATATTGTGTACATTCATTCGCAAAAAAATAAAATTAGTGTGCATATTGTGTACATCGTCGGCCTTCAGTAATGGGAGGCCAATTGGAGATAAGGTAACCATCCCACTAGCAACATGCAGACTGACAATTTTGTGTTGTAATGTTGCATTGGGCATTCTGAAAATTAACTGCAAGCATCATGACTGAATATTGCTGTTTTTCGCCTCCGTACGTGCAGGAAAAGATAGGAGTCGGAGGCCCTCATACATAATTATTGAGCCGGAGAAGAAAAGATAGGAGTCGGAGGCCGGGTTTTCTTTAACGAAATGGTTGTGTGCATCGCTTGATGTAGAAGCCGGGGGTATTCTTCTTTTTTTTTAAAGAGGCTGAGGGTTTCAACCTCCTTTTCAAAAGAAAAAATAAAGAGATAGGAGTGCCCTTATGAAGATCAGCATATAATTTTTTCCAGTCAATTAGCATGTATCCGACCACATGTGTATATTCAAACAATCAAAGGCACGCTTTATTTTGCAAAAAGCAAGAACAGAGGATCCACTGTACCTTGTGATGACACTTACGAACACATGAAAAATAGCATCCATTCTACTTAATGAGAGTTGCCCATGACATCAGAAGGTCATATTGTCACATTCCTCCCACACAAGCACAAAGAGATCAGAGTTCATATATCTCTCGCCGGCACTGGGGAATATGGTAACGATCATCTTGCCCTCGATCCTTTCTCTCGCTGCGATCTGCCAGAGAACCACGAAATCAGAACTGACACAGCCAGCAAAGATGATAGTGCATGTAACCTGCTGGACATCAACAGTAAGTTTACCTTGACGCAAGCAGCGACATTTGCACCAGAGGATATACCGACCAGCAGGCCCTCCTCCCTCGCCAGCCTCCTCCATGATCACCGTCACGACCTCGTCGATGACCGACGTGTCAGAACCTCCGGTATGAACCCTGGCCCCGTGCACTAAATCTTGTGTGACCCTGGTGAACCTCCTGAACAGAGGATCAAACAACAGTGTCTCTGGTTACTATTGCACACCCTGAATGTTCCTGTTCATCTGCACTTATTCATGCTCTTACACCGGAAAGATAGTATGCCGGGCCCTTACTCCTACTACTCACCTGCCGGAAATCTCTTTCTTTGGGAAATGGAATGGAATTCAATTCTAACTTAGGGATTCTCTTCTTCCTGAACACACTCAGCTACTCTCTTCTTTCTATAATTGGTCTCTTAAGTCCAAGTAATCGATAAAGTACAATCCTCTTCTGATGATTCCGATTTCTTGTAAATCCATGGCTTGAAACTAGAACCACATGGTATGGTTAAGGGATTACCGGTTGGTGAGTAGTAGGAGTAAGGGCCCAGCATACTATCTTTCCGGTGTAAGAGCATGAATAAAGTGGCCGCATGCATCTCTCCCAGATGCAGAGGCCGGGGGTCATCCTCCTTTTCTAAAAAAAATGGTTAAGGGATTACCTGAAATTATAACGCTTTCTGAAGGGAGAAAGAATTATCGCGTTTCACGAGACGGAGCCGCCGGTGTCTCCTGTTCTTCATCGGGAGGCCAGATCTGGAGTCCGTTTGAAGCTCTGAAGAGGGGGATCTTCGATCTTCGTCATCACCAACACATTTCCATCGCCAATTCCGTGATTCTCCCCACCGGGAGTGAGTAATTCCTTCGTAGGCTCACTGGTCGGTGAGGAGTTGGATAAGATTCATCATGTAATCGAGTTATATTGTTAGGGCCTGATCCCTAGTATCCACTATGTTCTGAGATTGATGTTGCTATGGCTTTGCCATGCTTAACGCTTGTCACTTTGAGCCCGGGTGCCATGATTTCAGATCTGAACCGTTTATGTTATCATCATTATATCCATGTTCTAGATCAGATCTTGCAGGTTATCGTCACCTACTACGTGTTATGATCCGGCAACCCCGGAGTGACAACAGTCAGGACCACTCCCGGTGATGACCGTAGTTTGAGGAGTTCATGTATTCACCGTGTGTTAATGTTTTATTCCGGTTCTCTATTAAAAGGAGGCCTTAATATCCCTTAGTTTCCAATAGGACCCCGCTGCCACGGGAGGGTAGGACAAAAGATGCCATGCAAGTTCTTTCCATAAGCATGTATGACTATTTACGGAATACATGCCTACATTATATTTATGAACTAGAGCTAGTGTCATATCGCTCTAGGTTATAACTATCTCATGATGAATATCATCCAACAAGTCACCGATCCAATGCCTACGAATTTATCTTATATTGTTCTTGCTAAGTTACTACTGCTGCTACTGCTATCAAATCACTGCTATCACTGTTATAGTTACTATTGCTACTGCTACCATTATCAAAACTATCATATTACTGTGCTACTAATCACTTTGCTGTAGATAATTAATCTCCTGGTGTGGTTAAATTGACAACTCAGCTGCTAATACCTTCAAATATTCTCTGGCTCCCCTTGTGTCGAATCTATAAATTTGGGTTGAATACTCTACCCTCGAAAACTATTGCGATCCCCTATACTTGTGGGTTATCACCCTCGGACGCCGATGACCTGAGCCATGTAATCTGCTACGTCTTGAGCTCGTGTTGGTTTTCCTCGAAGAGGAGAATGTGATGCAGCAATAGTAGCGTAAGTATTTCCCTCAATTTTTGAGAACCAAGGTATCAATCCAGTAGGAGGCTCCTCAAAAAGTCCCACGCACCTACACAAACAAACTGAGAACTCGCAACCAACGCAATAAAGGGGTTGTCAATCCCTTCACAGCCACTTGCGAAAGTGAGATCTAATAAAGATAGTATGATAAGATAAATATATTTTTGGTATTTTATAATATAGATGCAAAAAGTAAAGATGCAAATAAAAGTAGATTGAAAGCAAATATGATAAGAGATAGACTCGGGGGCCATAGGTTTCACTAGAGGCTTCTCTCAAGATAGCATAAGTATTACGGTGGGTGAACAAATTACTGTCGAGCAATTGATAGAAAAGCGCATAGTTATGAGATTATCTAGGCATGATCATGTATATAGGCATCACGTCCATAACAAGTAGGCCGACTCCTGCCTGCATCTACTACTATTACTCCACACATCGATCGACTCCTGTCTGCATCTAGAGTATTAAGTTCATAAGAATAGAGTAACGCATTAAGCAAGATGACATGATGTAGAGGGATAAACTCATGCAATATGATATAAACCCCATCTTGTTATCCTCGATGGCAACAATACAATACGTGCCTTGCAACCCTTTCTGTCACTGGGTAAGGACACCGCAAGATTGAACCCAAAGCTAAGCACTTCTCCCATGGCAAGAAAGACCAATCTAGTAGGCCAAACCAAACTGCTAATTCGAAGAGACTTGCAAAGATAACTCAATCATACATAAAAGAATTCAGAGAAGATTCAAATATTATTCATAGATAGACTTGATCATAAACCCACAATTCATCGAATCTCGACAAACACACCGCAAAAAGAGTTTGCATCGAATAGATCTCCACAAGAGAGGGGGAGAACATTGTATTGAGATCCAAAAAGAGAGAAGAAGCCATCTAGCTAATAACTATGGACCCGTAGGTCTGTGGTAAACTACTCACAACTCATCGGAGGGGCAAGGATGTTGATGTAGAAGCCCTCCATGGTCGATTCTGTTGGGGAACGTAGTAATTTCAAAAAAATTCCTACGCACACGCAAGATCATGGTGATGGCATAGCA